ACTACTAGCGTGGCACCTGTTACTAGAAGCTTATTGTTTCTAGTAGCTTCTTGTTACTACTAGTAAGGCACCTGTTACTAGTAGCGTGGCACTTGTTACTACAAGCAAAGGAATCTAAAAGGGGGGGGAAGATAGTTGGCCAAAACATGCCAGGAGCCCCGAACGTAGCGTCCTTGCTCCGTTCGTAGGGGGGGAAGATAGTGGGCCTCAAAGGACATAGACTAGTTGGAGACTACCCTGGGAATTTTGGAGCCAAGATGTATGGCAAGTCATCATCCAGGAAGGATAACAAACTAGTTTTGAAGAGCACTTGAGAATCCGTGAGTCTTTCCCTTCTGCTTTTTCGGGTGCTCGGTGAAAACCGTTCTCACCCTTCAGGGATCTTCAGGACAAGGTCAGAACCAGGTGTACGACCTGAGAACAACGTGTTGGTTCTGATGGGATGGCCTGGTTGGATGAGATGGTCACCTGCTCAGATGCGTCCACAAGCCAAATCCATGCACGATCGTGACCAGCGTGCTCTCACACCCAGCTGGTTTGAAGCAGCTGGTTTGGATGATGTTGTGTTTTCCTGTGGGTTGTTATTGAATGTATTGGCCATGGTTGACAAGTCCTTTGACCCCGTTCATTCACCATTGCATGGTTCCTTTCCGGGACCATACCTTATCCCTTGAACCATTCCATGTTGAAAGTACCCATCCCTTTCTCCGCAGATTCGCACTGGATCCACAAAAACCCAAACACCAAACGGTGACCGGACATCTCATCTCAAGATCGCCTTTTTCGGTCGTTGGTGTTTTCTCGTTGCTTCCAGGTGGCGATCAAGCTCATGGGAGAGGAGGCTGTGGCCACCCACCGGGAGTTTGTGCCTCGGAGTCCGAGCGGCGAGCAGCGAGCGCTCGGGCCGGCGAGCGCTCGGGCCGTTGGGCGGCGGGAACGGTGTGCGAGAGGCGAAGGCGGCGCGCCAAGGGAAGGGCGGCCTCCAAGCTAGAAGCTTCCAAGCTAAGAGCGATGGTGGAGAATAGATGAGAATGGTGGATCGTGTTCGAACCTCCATAGGCTCATTGTAATGCAGGGGGAGGAGGGATCGAGAGCGAAATTCACCCAAGAAATGCAAAAGGCCATATGAGGGGGACCATGTCCGGTGCTCAAAAATCTTCAGAGCTGTGTTCAACATGTTGATTGGCTCTGAGATTTGCTTTCGGGGATTGCAACCCCCAAGCTAAGTGGCATACCAGGTTCCACGGAAACAGATGGAATACTTGGAACACAAAGGCTCATCTACAAAAATCAATAAACTTTTCTCCCCACGCCGCTTGGTGACGCGCGCGGGAGCTCGTGGCATTCACCTACGGACGACGCTCAACCGTCCCGAGGAGATTATGCAAGCGATCAGCCATCCAAACTTGATCCGAGCGCTCGACTTCTTTCAGCGCCTAAGCTGACGGAGATGTGATTGCAGTAACAGGTGCGTCGCCACTAGGAGCAAGGACAGGACGCTACTAGGAACAAGGGCATCGCTGCTAGTAACATGTTGGAGTCAGGAACCCAAAATCAAAACGGACCTCCAAATGGTCCGCGAGGCTCTTGAACAGACCCAGTTTGGGGAGCCATACCCCCTTATGATTGCAGTAACAAGAAGCTACTAGGAGCAAAGGGCATCGCTACTAGTAGCAAGGGCCTTACTAGGAACAATGTTTGCCAGTAGAAACAAGAAGCTTCAATTAGAATTTAATTGGAAGGCTACTAGGAGCCATACCCCCTGGTGATTCGGACCAAGTTTGTGAGATCGGCCTTTGCGCTTGGCTCACGAAAAGATCCACCCTCCTTGGATAGCCTCAAGTTGAAAGGATCTCAACACAGCCCAACAACCCAAAACGACGGCACACGCTACGGTGTCACTGGAGGTACAACTGTGGTGCAGCCTTGGTTTTAACCTATGTCCCAGGCGGCACCTTGACCCAGGCAGAACCAGACGCCGAAACGCCGACCAAGCGCTCCAAAATGCGTTTTCCAGATCCAGTCACCCTTCATTGAGGAAACATGAGAAAACGATGTGTGATTTTCCAGTGGATGAATCAAGGATGTTTCAAGCAATCTAGATGTTCGACGACCCAACTTCCATGAAGCCTCAGTTTCCTCTCGAAGGGCTCGCACCTGCCGCATGCTGCGCTTTTGGCTCATGATGGGAACCAAATGTCCTTCCATTTCCCCGAGCACAGGGTGGGACACACTGCATAGAAGCTTATAGCTAGATGGGACACAGTTCTGGGATAGCTAGGAATGATGGAATCCCACACTTCCCTTCATATTTTTGCACCGATGGAATGCATTTTCGTACAGAAAGACTTGTGTGCAACACTGGGCAGCTGGGTTTGTGCACCGAGAGTCTTCCTCACCCAGGTGTGTCACTTCTTTTGGGAGGGGGATGCCAGAGCTCTTCTTGTTTTTCCACACCTCTCTGGGGAAAACAAACTCCTAATAGCGATGCCCTTGTTACTAGTAGCTGCTTGTTCCTAGTAGTAATGCCAGGAGCTACTAGTAGCGTCCTGGCTCCGTTCGTAGCGATGCCCGTTGTTCCGTTCATAGCTGCTTGTTCTTGGACGTTTGGAGAAACGGAATCCTGGAGGCCGTGAAGGAGGGCGCGGGATTCCTGGCCGAAGGCAAGGCCAAGCATCTCTTTCGGCTGCTGCTGGAGGCCGTGAGCTACCTTCATCAACATCGGAGCTTCGGAGCGAACGAAGGATTGGGATCCAGCGTTCATCCGAATGGGTGTGGGTAGAGCATGCCATTGCTACGAACGTAGCGATGCCCTTGTTACTAGGTGGAAAGTGTCAAGACTTCATGACTTTGTGTTGCTTTGGGTTCGGATCCCTGGCCCATCCCCATCCCACTAGTTCTTGAGAAACATAGTTCCAGCAAAGACCATAAGATGAGTATATGATGTTCAAAGTGGCGGGAGTCACCTGGAGTCTCAGAAAGTACCTCAGAAATTGGGCACATGTCCCTGTTCTTTATGGGATGAGGTCAGGTCCCATTTTCTACAGGGTCTAGGTAGTCATTTCTGGTTGAAGACTTACCTTTCTCGTTGCGGGCATGTTTTTAAGTGTTTTTATGGATCCATCCTGCAAAGATGCCGACCTTTTTGGTAGCTTGCCCTTCTTGGTGCACATGTGTTCTCGTCTCGATGGTGTGGCATGGAGATTGCATGGTGGTGTTAACCCCATTTTGACATGATTCTGACTCAAAAGAGAATGAAATATGATTCTGACATGTTAACCATGCCCAGACACTCCATTGCACTGGCATGTTTGCCTACATTCATCCCCTGTTCAACCACCCCAAGGTATTGAATGCTGTTAAGTAATATGCCAGTCCCCTGGATGCTTTGGGATGTTCTGCTTGATTCATTCTGATTCCTTCACTCGAGTCCAGCCGATCTCGGAGTTGGCTCAAGTCACCAGACTTGGGTGGTCGGATGGATTGAAAAGGGGTGAATGTGAGAAAAGATGGAAAAGGGACAGGTGAGTATTCCAGCTAGGTAATCCCTTTTGTAAATAGAAAGGAGTCTTTAAGCTGACGTAACTGCGGGACACCGAAGTAGGACTGAGCAAAGAAGCCATGTCCATGTGTCCATGGTGGACTGCTCGTCAAGGCTAGTGACCAAACAACAAGCCATCAGGTAAAAGCCAAATAAGTCAAGGTCCTTGAGCCATGGCGAAGCGAATTTCAGCGTTGCAGCCGAGTGGTGAAATACTCATTCTAGAAGTCACGCCACCGACAACAGTCCGGGCACTCAAGGAGCAGATCAAGGAGGGACAGCCTTGGGATGAGCTCACTCGCAGCACTACAGGTGTGGAGATCATTGTTGGAGACAGCCAATTGCTGGCTGATGATCTAAAGGTATTGCATGCTGGAATTGCTGAAGATACTGTTGTGAGTGTTGTCTTCAAGCCAAACAAAGTGATATGCTCCAACAAGGGTGCGATCGACGGTCTTGGTGACATCATTGACTCAGAACTTTTGCTTGTGGTCGAAATTCCGAATGATGATACACAAATTCATGAAAACGCTTTTGAAGGTTGCCGCACGTTGGCCAAAGTGGCCATTCCGGACTCAGTGACTCTCACTGGAGATGGTGCCTTTCAGAGTTGCAGCTCTTTGGTCAACGTGACCATCCCAGACTCTGTCACCCACATTGGATCTGGTGCCTTTCAAGGTTGCAACTCTTTGGTGACCGTGACCATCTCGAACTCTGTTACCCACATTGCCTTTTGAGATCCAGCTCTTTGCCGAGCTTTGGCCATCCCAGACTCTGTGACCGGAGATGGTGCCTTTCGGGGTGGCAACTCTTTGTCGGAGCAACCAACGTGATACAGTGATTTCAGTCGACCTCTTTGGTCTTTTTCAGGTTTGGGAGAGTGAGGTTTTTCAGGTTGCAGCCGGATTGAGCATCTTTAGGCAATACCAGTCCGATGGAGGGTGTCGAAAAGTGGCGCATTCCGGCCAGGACTGACAGACAGGAATGGTCCTGGGTGGTTCCCTCTCCATGTCTTTCATCCGTTAGACTGAGCCTGTCAGCACCGGCGTAGCCGGCGCAGCGCAGCGCAGGGAGGTCGAAAAGGAAGTATCGACAGGCAGCAAAGGGAACCTGAGTCCTCCAACCTCCCAACCTACTAGCGATGGCCTCCAAACAAGTAACGATGGCCTCGAACCTTGTCCCCCTTGGCGTCCAAGACATTCCAAGACTATTTTAAAAAATTGTCTTTAGGCGACCTGACAAGGAAGTACCTTCACTTGGGTGGTGCCAAATGCAGTCGAACTGGATTTTAAGGCTTCACCAGTTTTTGCGTTGCAGGATGTTGCGGCGTCAAGCTGCCAAGGCAGTCTGAGTCTTGAAACCGCTCACCTTGACGACCGTGTTTTCGGGGGCTGTAGCTTTCCCTGGGAGAAGGACTTACCAAAACACTAAACAAGATGGCACCATGGGCATCCCCAATTCACTTCGTTTCAGCGGTACACCAGTTTGCAATGCAGCACATGGGCAAATGTTTGTGCCCAGCAAGCCTTTATGTTGAAGATAAAGATGGGCAGCGTCATTTGGGGAATATTTGGTAATTAGCCTCTTGTTACTAGTAGTAAGAATGCTCCTAGTAGCGATGCCAGGAGCCCCTAGTAGCGTCAGCGCCCTTGCTCCTAGTAGTAAGGCCAGGAGCCCCTAGTAGCGTCATATAAGATGGAATCCTTGAAGTATATGCTCCTTTGATTCTTGCTGTAAACAGAATTGGAAGCCCATGAACACGACCTTTTCTGAATGCTGAGTCCATTTAGATCCCACTCTGGAAGATCTTCCAGAATTTCATCAGCGCAGAACAAAAAACAGAACTAGTCGTTAAAAGCCGTGGCCTCCAACACGTAAAAAAGCGCCTCCTTCACTCGCCACCATGAAACTCGCTCCGCTTCGGGACCGGAGCCTTGCGTTTCCCGGCGCCGAGGATCGTCCACAGCGACGTGAAGTCCGACAACGTGCTGCCACTCGGGTTGTGTCTTTTGTGTGAAGAAAGGTCCTTAGAACAAGGTTCGCTACTAGGAACAAGTGCATCGCTTTTAGTAACAAGTGCCTTACTAGTAGTAACAACAAGCTATTAGAAAGGTCCTTAGAAAAACATCTTTCAGAAAGAACTTTTAAGGAACCTAATAGCGATGGCCTCCAACCTACTAGCAAAGAAAGGTCGGTTCCTTGTTGGTTTAATAGAGAGACGTTTGTTGGAAGGAATAATTGAAAAAAGAACACTCTTTTCAAGCAGGGTGGAGGGACTGTGTTTTGGAATATGTTCATTCAAGCAGCTGAGTGATGTCGAAACACCAACCAAGATACTCCGTACGCGTACGGTGAGTCTTCTGCTGATGGCCGATGGCAATAGATCAGGTGATGGTGTGTTCCATTGAAGGTTGAGAAGGTCTGCAAATGTGCCACTTTGGCAGTCATCGATCCGGCAGTTTTTGGTGGAAAGAACAGCCAGTCCGTGGTCTGCACAGAATGAATTCAAACACCTCGGCTGCGATTCAGACAAAAAACGGCTGCCAAGTAAAGACCCCCAATGGTTCAAGTAAATCCTGACAGGTGGGCAAAGGGTTTGGTCAGCTGCAAACTTGGTTGGTCAGAATCAGAACTACGAAGGATGGCCCAGCTTGGTAACAATATGTCTGCAAACAAATGAAGACACACGGTTCCATGTGAATGTCTTATGGCACACTGAAGCCATCATGTTCTTGGTTACCAGTACTTGATATTGGATCAAAACCGTTCTTTTTCAGGTGTCCACAAGGCGAGGGTGGTGTTCTCCTTGTTGGGTTCCTTACGTTGGTTTGACGAAACCCTTCAACGGACTTCGGCTCACCGTGGCTTCAGGATTTCGCCCGATTTGGCCACTTTGCACCTCACTGACTTCGGCTCCTCCCGCACTCTCCGCGCAGGTGGGATCGCTGAAGCGGCTTCGCATCAGACCCCCTAGCTCTCCGGAGTATGAAGACCACCCAGTCAAATTAGCACTTGTTACTAGTAGCTATTTGCTACTGGTAGTAGTGCCCTTGTTACTAGTAGCGATGCACTTGTTACTAGTAGCAAATTAGCTACTAATAGCGATGCACCTGTTACTAGTAGTAGTGCACTGGTGATTGCACTGCTTATTTTTGGGGGCCATGCTAACAGAGTCAACATGTAAGAACCCAACGAATTCTGAAGAGAAAACCTTGTTTGTGCTTTCGACACTCCCTCCGACTCCTCGGGTGAGGCGACCAGCCGCTGACCTCGACGACGATCGACTTCTCAGCGCCGGAAGTTTTAGCTGGGGAAGAACCAACAGAGAAGCACGATGTGTCGTGGAAAGAAAGGGAAGGAAACCGGGAACGTGCCGTCAGAGCCTGGAGCAGATCTGGAGACCACCTGAGATTTGTTGGGTCACTGATCTTCAAACCTGGTGCAGCATTTGCCGGAGAACTGCCATGGATTGGTGGAAGTATGCAAGTTGGATGCGCGTCGAGTCATGCCAGAAAGGAATTAGAGGTTGCTCAAGAAAGGATCATCGATGATCCACTGATCTACTCGTCGTAGAAAAAATGTTTGTGCAAGAGGGTTATATTTAACCCCAATATCCAAGATTTCGGAATGGCCACTAAATCATCAGGTGAAAGCACTGCGCAGTTGCATGAAAAACATGTTTAATGCGTGCCGCTAGATGCAGCTAGATGATTGTCACCCTTTGTTCTCAGCTTTTCGTGCATTGAGGTAACACCAGTTCAGGGGTCCGGTTTTCGCATGGTGCGATCGAAGTATCTCTTGCACATCAACGACCTTCCCCGTTTCACAGTATGCGGATCACCACGGGGGATGCCATGCTGGGCCCTGCTCGGGCCGTTTCTGCGACCGTTCCACATCGAGACTCGCCACTCGAGGTCTGGGGCGCTGGCCTTTGCTTATATTACATGCTCACAGGCACGAGTCGACGAGTGAGGGAGGCCATCGCTAGGAACAAGAAGCTACTAAGTGCATTACTACTAGTAGCTAGAAGCTACTAGGAGCGAAGGGCATCGCTACTAGGAGCAAGGATGCTACTAGGGGCGCTCCTGGCCTTACTACCAGTAGCAAGAATGCTACTAGGTTGGAGGGCATCGCTATTTGGTTGTCGATCGGTACCTTTCGGCGATGTGGGCCATCAGGCGCGATCGGCGATCGGGTCGTTAGATTTTGTTCGGATGGGATTTCATGGGAGAGTGGTATGCTGAGAGGGTTTCTTGAATCCTTTCGGTATTGGTCAAGTTTCCCATTAGGGGTTGTGTCCAAATCACCTGCAAGAATTGCCATGCTTGCTCCTTGTGGAAAGCTTTGGCTTACATCTTTTGGACTTCGGACTTCGTGCAGGGGCGGCCCCAAATCTAAAGCAGGAGACGCACGGAACCTGATGCAGGTCATTTTGGCGAAACCGGACCCTGCGGATCTGAATCCGGGCCACCAAAGAAGAAGACCTCATGACCTCATGGTCTGAAAGTCCTCGAACTTCGAGAGGATGAGGCAAGTGTTCAACTCAGGTATTTCTGGGCAGACAGTTTTCAACTCCCATCCCGCACAAAGTCACCCTTCAAGAAATGAAACAAGAAAGCCAAACGTCGACCAACAGTAGGCCGGTTGGCACGCAACGAACCCAGCTCCATCGCCGTTCCGACGGCCAGGACGTCTTCCCCGGAGCATCATCCGATTTACGTGCTTCTTGGAATCGAGGGTCGAACTGAGAGGGTCGAACTTCAGCAGTGTGAAAGTGGGAATGCCCAGGTGTCCTTTTGTCCGCTCCTCTACATGGGGTAGCCTTTTTGAACGAAAAGCAATCAAAAAACTGTTGTTTAGCCCGCTCCTACTTATTAAGTAAGGGAATATGCTACTACATGCTGTTACATATGGATGCAGGATAGCTTCACGTGTGGAAATGTCATGGCACCGACTTCCCAATGTGTTTGACGTGGAAATCGGCTTCTTTTCGATATGCATGGAACAGATGCCCATAGCTATCCGCTTACACAAACATTTAAATCCTGTTGGACTTGGATCAGCCCAGAAACTTGAAGCTCCAGTTGCCATTCCTATTCGGTTGGAGGCCATCGCTACTAGGGTGCAGCTCCCGTTGCCGGTCGCCACCAAGGCTTTGAAGATTTCTGCGACGCCGTCCAGTCGTCCGCCATCAGCTGCAGCGGCCCACATTGGCGAGCAGTCTCCGACGACTGCAAGGCTGCGTTGTTTTGGTGCAAAGTAGAAGGTGGGTCCTAGTAGCGTCCTTGCTCCTAGTAGCTATGCCAGGAGCCCCTAGTAGCTCTACTACAAGGTGGGTCCTGATCTCAAACAACACAAGGTGAGCTCGGTGGTCATTTGAGATGGGATATGTTTGGGAATTTGAGGGAGCACGATAAGACACACCTGTGGCTAATATTATAATTCTTGCATGTTTCTCACTTCATCTCTTCCAAAGGGTCACCTCCCGTCGGTTGGTCACTGTCCCAGGCCACAGTGCGGTACTGCTTGGCGCTGGAGAAGGGGCAGAGACCGGCCATTCGACATCGCGAAGTCAGAGAAGTCATGAGAAAAGTCGATTTGGAAGACTCTCGTGGCCTCCACCCTAGAAGCGATGGCCTCCAACCTACCAGTGATATCTAGTGTCCGGTGATATCCGTTGAGCTTTTCGTGGTCTGTAGTGGCCAGCCCCCCCCAAGAATGAGCTCGAATTTTGCCTCCACCAATGTGGAACCATGTGATTTCATGTGAAGATATGTGAAGAGATGAACTCAACATGAACATGTAGATATTTATATACAATTGCAGGCATGTCTTGAAGCGACCTTCGACTTCGCCTGAGGCTGCCATGGTGATCTTGCAGATGAGTTGGCTCCGTCGTGGCGACGAGGCCCTCCGCCGTGCCAGTGCCCCAGCGCGGCCGCAGCGGCGAGTCCCGTTGACATCGAGTGGCGGTGAGATGGCACCGGAGGGCGAGCCGGGCGAGCACGGCGCTGGGGCACCTTGGCCAGAACAACTGTAGAAGCCTCCAACCTACTAGAGATGGCCTCCAACCTATTTTCACCAGGTTGGTTTCGACAGTTCTTTGCTGTTTGTGTTCATCATCAGGTTCAGGTGGAATCTGTGCAACTCTCAACCTGAATGGACGGGAAAAGCGACGTGGATGAGTTCCACGACTCATCTTGTGTTCCAAAAGGCTGAAGATGTCAGCACAGTCTCCCATAGTCTCTGGAGAATCAACTTGGCCGGGTTTGGGGGCCTTTGAGGCCATGTCCATCGACACCGGCAGCTTCCGAAACAGCAAGGCTGTTTTTGCTAAGCTCCTTCCCGTACGGGCCACTTGGACGTGGGGAACTTGGTCTATCTTCAGCGATGAGGGACATGCGGAGACAATCCAGCTTACAACGGTATTGGTGATTCAGGGGGCTAGTGCCCACGGGCGCCGACCCCCGGTCTAGGAGCTATACAGTTTGTTATTTTTGTGACTAGGGGAGGGGGCATGGTGTCAACTGTGCGATTGGCCCCAAAGAAACTTCTTCATGGACACAATCCTTTTTGGAACCCACAAGGGACATCAAGGGACCGCGCGAACCCGCGCGCGGACTCCAGTGGCGCGCGCAGTCCCTGGGGGTTCCCGTCTCGTAGGCGGTGGTAATAGGCGCAGCCAGAGGCGAGGGCGGGGTCGAACCCAGGACCAAGACCTGGGCAACGCTTTTTCCTGAGACAAAATCTTAACAGTCCCACAAGACTAGAAAAAGTCGACAAATGTCAACGAAGCGGCACATAATTAAGTAGGAGCAAGGACGCTACTAGGGGCTCCTGGCATCGCTACTAGGAGCAAGGATGCTATTAGGGTATGTTGGTCAGTGTGACGGCAGCGTGCCATCGCCCACCGCTCACCGGAGTCCCTCGTTCCAGGAACACGCCGGCCCCGCTCCGCTCACGCTCTTGTTCATCGGCCTAGACCGGGGTCGGCGGATTAGTTCAACAGACTTGAGGATGTTTAGTCAATCTCAAAGGTAGGAGTGGGCTTGAGGGGAAGAGAAGGTCCGCCCAAAGTAGTCGGATGGGATGGATGATGGCCGCATATGTTTACAGTAGGACCTGAGACGGGGCTAGACGTTTTCTGACGCAGTCCGGAGATGACGCTTCTGGGATGTCTAGGCCATCCAAAAGAGGCGGAAAAGTGGACCACGCAAGAAAGATCTTCAAGGCTCCAGGATTGCCCTGCTCCACCATAGTTCGCCAAGAGCACAGCCAAGCAACTCCAAAAAGGGAAGAGCGATCTTTGGAAGTTGTGTACGCTGCTGCGTGCTTGATCAAAGCTTTTCACCCTGCAGTTGAAAGAAGGGTGATTGAAATGATGCAGACGTTCCACCAGTCAAAAGACCTGCAGGGTGCATTCCCCACCAATTCGGTTGAATTAGTCAACACCTTTACTTTGCCCGTGGCCCTGCCCCCTACTTAATTCAGTAGGCGCGTCCTTGATCAAGTAAGGGAGTAGTTCGCTCCTAGGCTAAGTTAGTTTCTAGTCACTGGACGCAGGATAGTTCACGCTTCTTCAAGGAAGCTCCCCCCCATCAAAGGGAGTGATAAACCACCTCTGACTGCTGCAAATTTTCGGACCTTCATCCATTTTACAAACTCCCTCAAATGGCGGTTTGGGAAAGGGCTTGCTTGTTCTGTTTTTGAACTCGCTGCTTTTGCGTTTACACAAGGCTGGAGGTTCGACCTTCCTGTGGGAACTCTTTGTACCCCACAGGCCTACGCGGCCATCATTCGTGGTGCGATCAGTTTTTGCAAGCACAAAAAGATAGTGGTTGCCCCTCTGCTGCTCGACAAACGAAATAAGAGCAATGGACGCACATACCCAAAAGGGGCCTTCCTCGGAGCTGAAGTGTTTTTAGATAATTGCACGCTTGACCTCCTTTGTAAAGCCTTTGAAAAGGGTGCTAAAGCCACCCCCGCTTCCTGGGCGTTGCCCTTCGACTTGCTCGTTTGAATCTCTGGTTCACCTTGACCTTCACTGCGGTAGCTTGAATGGTCGCCGACGACTCCGTTCTACGGCGGGAGAGTAAAAAGGAAGCTCCCCCCCGCCTGAGGGCAGGGGGAGTTTCCTTGCAGAAGCCCTTGCACTATGGATTTAATTCCAAGACTTTAGGGAACGTTAACTTTTAGACCGTCGTGAGAAGTGGCATGCAAGTCTTTGCATCGCTTGCAGTTGCATTTAAGAATCCACAGATGTGCTGGTTCCAACAATATGACCAGCATTCTTGTCCATGATTTGTTGGACTGTCCATCAAAGGGATGGCTCTTGTTTTCTCGTTCTCGCGATTTGGGGAAACGCCGACGGCCTGAAGCACCGCTGGGCCAAGGTGCCGACCGAAATAGATATATAGCATATAGGATGCCAAAGATACCGACGGAGCCTGGCACTTTTGGTTGTTTTGGAAAAGATATCTGGGAAATTCAAGGATGATGTCATGGCTCCAGTTGAACATGTGGTGATTTCTGTGTGTGTGTTCTCTTTGAAAACGGGACAGCCCAGCTGTCTCACTGCTGGTGGAAGATATCCTTCCCGTGTCAAGTTGTTACCAGATTGGTTTCCTTCCTCCGGTTTGTTTCTTGCGATGACCTCCAACCTAGCGATGGTCCTCCAGTTCCGTAGCTTAACTCCAATCTTCATTTCACTCTGTGGATTGCCATCCACGGAATTCCCCAACTTACTGAAACCCATATTTGTGTTGATCACAAAAGCTTCACTGCACCCGCTAGGATGAACCACAGTGTTAGTTGAAGTGTTTGTTGGAATGTTTTGGATGTCTTAATAAGAATGGAGTGAAGGTGTTCAAAGGTCCCTCACCATGGAACCGTCCGTTTTCAATCTGGATCCCAGATTGAATGAACCCTCCATCAAGGACGTCCTGCCAGTGACACTCAGGAGAGTTTCCAGCTCAAGGACATGAACACCGTCAAAGCATCGCTCGGCGTATCTTAGAGTTGAGATGAGTTGAGCTCCTTTTGCAGCTTCCTCCTGGTATCGCTACTAGGAGCCAAGGGCATCGCTACTAGGGGTTCCTGGCCTTACTACTAGGAAAAAGGACGCTACTGGGAAAAATAGTTATGTTTTTAGGGAAAGGACCAGTCGGACCTTTGCTTGGTGGAAGTAGCACCGGTGAGCGACCACCTCAGTGAATGACTTCAGTCATTTTTTGCCGAATATGCCGAACGGAGCACATCTCTCTAGAGAAGTTCTAAAAATGTCCAAAAGATTCTGCATCCAGGAGGAAGTAAGCCATATCTTCAGCTGGCGACTATCAGGGAGTCACATCCATCCCCTCAGAGTTTCTTAAGACAAGATGTGTAAAAAAGGGGTAGCGTTGAATTCAGCGGCACAGTAAGTCATGTGATGTTTGTTGACGTCGCCAGTTGGCTCTTTTCAAATTAATCTGTGGACTACGATTTCCATTGCACCAGAGTCACCTGCGGGCCCTGTACAGGGGTCCTGGCCACGGCGTTTGGTTTTGAACGTCTCGAAATGAATCAGACAGAGGAACAAACCATGCCAGGAGGTCCTTTTCAAACCCCCCCTCACGTCGTTCTTGGGGGTGCTCGGTGCTCACTGAACCACCAGGGTCATGGCATCACTTCCCACAGCTTCTCTGTGGTGCAATGGAAGAACGGCCCTCGAGAGCAGGTCAAACACCTGGCTTGTCCAGTCCTCAAGTCCACGAAAAGCTCAATTTTTCTCATGGGACACAAACAGTGGCCCAACTGGCTGTGAGACCAGCGAACACGAGCGAACCAATCCAGACAGCGAGTCCGGCTTTGGAAGAGCTATTCAGCCGTTTTCGTGAGCGAACTCAGAAGAGGAAAACAAATTATGTGAAGATTTGATCAGGAGCTACTGTACTAGTAGCTTCTTGTTACGCCATGGTGGACACAGTGGGCGGATTCGTGAAATTGGTCGACTTACTGGCAGTAATTCGTGCACCATAGGCGTTTCCCACTGGTATCCCCACCGCGGTGTTTCATGGTACTGGTCGGTCAAAGGGACGAAAAAGCACCGGAACCCATCACCCGAGGTGCAAAGGAAAAGCCCTAGTAGCGATGGCCTCCAACCTACCGGAAAAGCATGTGGCAAACGCCGGCAGATCGGGTTTCCACCTGGACGAACCTGTTGCACCAGTTGCTCAAGTTTAAATGGACGGCCCAAAAGATCCAAAGACGCGGACACAGATGGAAGTTGCTCGGCGTTCAGAGTGTCCTTTCATTCCTACACATTTGACTAGTAGCTTCTTGCTACTAGCAGTATTGGCCTCCAACCTACTAGCGATGGCCTCCAACCTATTAGTAGCTTCTTGTTCATGGATTTTTGGTGGGGCTATGAAGAGGGCGTGAAAAGTGTGATCGCTCCGTTGCTTAAAAGAACGAGATGTTTCGTCGGAAATGACAACTTCTGGGGATCCAACCAATGGTTGCTCAACAATTTGGGGTGTCTTCCCACTTGAGGATTGTGGCACTGTTCCATGATAGTTTGCTTCATAACTATTTATACAGTTCATTGACACAACAGAAGAAAGATCTTTGTCCGTCGCCAGTCTATCTCCGGAGCGAGCCAGCCGCTGGATAGCAGGTCTTTGAGAGCAGTCGCAGATGCGAATGGTTAGCGTCGCTATCCGGCTTTGAATTGTTCGATATGGTCTTTTGTCACAGAGTCTTCTATAAACATCCAGAAGCTATTCGGTTGGAGGCCATCGCCATTAGGTAGAGGCTATCGCTACTAGGTTGGAGGCTATTCCTGTTAAGTGGAGGCCATCGCTACTAGTAGCAAGGACGCTACTAGTAGCTAGAAGCTGCTTGTTCATTTTTTCTCGAAGCAGCATCTCCAACTACCGTTAATATCGATACGGCATGTGTCCACGCCTACATCAGCCCACTTCACTAGTTCGGTGACCCACCATGTGTTTTTGGTGGGTCAGAAGTGAGCATCAACAGCGGGTTCCAATGCCGACTTGTCCTGCGTTCTGCTTGACCTGTTGGGTGCGGGGTGACAATCAGAAGATCGATGAACGCCTATTGCTTCCTGTTGGGGTCATTCCTGCTAGTGTTGGGGTCACTTCCAGCAAAACACGTGCTTTTAAGTGCTGTTATCTCCGCATACTGGTATCCCTTGTGAGTCAAACACTTGGAGAAGGCATCCTGTGGATGCCATCGTCCACTGTTGCAGGTGGGGCAGGGTCGTGTCCCCTCGACACTGGTGATGGACCCTGTCCCGAACTAGTAACAACAAGCTAGGCTGCTAGTAACAAGGGCATCGCTACTAGGAGCAAGGACGCTACTAGGTGCTCCTGGCCTTACTACTAGTAGCTAGAAGCTACTAGGAGCAAAGGGCATCACTAGTAAGAAGCTACTACCTCATTCCTCCAGCGACTGGCCACGCTGCGCCTCTCCGGCGCCAACAGACAGAGCCCAGCTAAGATGAGCGAGTGGCGTGACAAACAGTGCGTCTACTGCACACTCGGGGCATTCTGCGTTGATTCGTGTAATAATGGCAATAGCCTCCAACCTAATAGCGATGGCCTCCAACCAGTCCTCCAACCTAATAGCGATGGCGTCCAACCTAAAAGTGATAGCCTCCACCTAATGGCAATGGCCTCCAACCTAAGAGCGATGGCCTCCGACCTACTATATAGTTGTTTTGTCTCCAAGATTTTCATGGTAATTAATCATCAAGTCATTCTTTCGGGAAGGACTATGTGAAGAAAAATGGATCGAACAGGCGGTGAAACCGATCACCCATCTCAAAAGGTTCCAGGTAAATTGTGGCAGGGCATTGACTATTGCTATTAGGTCAGAGGCCATCGACCTCCCATTCTTCTCTAATTTGAGGTGCAATGCACTCCAGGCGTTTCCTCGAGGAGGAGATCCAGCGAGCGACGGGCGAATGGGAGGACCGGAGTTCAGACGAATGGGGTCGCCTCGTCGGACGAACACTTACCACCGACGGACCATTTGCAGTGGATCCTTGCGCGGAGATAGGCGGTAAGAAGGGGATAAGAAGAGGGTTGTGATCCTTGCTCTCTCTCTCTCTCTCTCTTTCTCTCAGTGATAATTTTACCTAAGTTCACCCTGAAAGTCACTGGTTTGATTTCTGGCAGTGTCATTCCTTTGATTATATCATGGGTACATAGAGGTAGGTCATGTTCTGATGACGTGTCAAAAAACATATGTGAACCTGCTAGTGTTCAGTTACATTCGGTCCAAGTTCATGCTGTTTTGCTCGGTTTAGGGACCCGAAGACGCGTTTTCTTGTGTGCGTGCAGGGACAACCTGGAGACCCAGTCTGTTGTGTGGCCATATAGATGGAACTGGGGAATGTTCCTTCAGTGGCTGTGCTAAGAAGTGTGCACAATATACACATAACTCACATAAGTATTCACCATCCTCTAGTATATAGATAGACTCTGAAGCGTCTAAAACAAGAGGCAAATAGTTGTTCTGCAAATGTTGCATACGTAGTTTGTCTAAAGGAAAGGAAAGGAAGAAAGAATGAAAATAAAGATAAACAAAAGAGTCTAAAGGCCTAAAGACAAAAGAATAAATAAGAGAAACCAGAAAGGAAAAGAACAAAGACGGAAAGGACATATAGTCGGAAAAGATACTGTTTCAGGACAACTGTTGTTGCTATAGTTTGGAAGATAGACCCCATTTGACACAGCGAGGACCTTCAGCGTCAGCGGAAGCTGCAGGAGCAAGAGCAGGATCGGTGAGCGGGCGTTGGAAAAGCTACATGTGTGTCAAAATCCTCCTTTGCAAACCTAGTCACGAAAGGTAGCCCTTTAGGGGATACCTTGAGTTTGTCTTGCGAAGCAAGTGTTGGGACGTCCGGGTCTAATAATTGATCGCTCAATTCAGACCCCCCCCCCCCCCCCCCCCCCTCTAAAATCAATTCTCTCCTGGAGAACGTCTTCGTGAGCCTCTCATGATTTCAGGATAGTTGAAACCCTCTTGAACATTTTAGAAAGAGTGAATATGAAATTCTAATCACGAAAGGTGTTCCCCGAGGGGATACATACCTAGAGTTTGTTTTGTGAAGCACGTCAATTCTCTCCTGGGGAGCGTCTTCGTGAGCCTCTTATGGTTTCAGGACAAATCCTATGATGTTCCGATTCAATGCTCATCGATGATCTGAGCCATGGGGCAAGTTTGTTTTCCTAAGAACCTTTTTGAACATTTCGAGAGCATATGTTTGAACATTTAGAGTGCATATGAACATATATTTACGAAAGGTCGCCTCCGAGGGGATAAATCACCATGTCGAACATTGCATTTTTGTTCCTGCCTCTCGCGTTCTCTTCTCTTCCCGCTGTCCTACCTTTCGTGTCTCCCTCCTCTCAAGTAGCTTCTTGCTCCTAGTAATAAGGCCAGGAGCCCCTAGTAGCAAACTATATTAGACCTTCTTCATGTTCTTTTTTCTTTGTTTCTAATGGCGATGGCCTCCAACCTTCGTGCTACACGGGTAGCTGAAGCCATGGACTTGAAGGATCTACAAAAATAGACTGTGGTCAGGACAGCTCAGCAAGAACCCTCCGTCCAACGGACATGGAGAATTCACCATAATGATACAATACACCGGGTAAACAGTAAACGCTATTTGGTTTTATCGTCATGTTTGCAATATATTCACTTTGTTAGTGGTTTTATTGCTTTGTTCTAGCTTGGTAGGAGGTTGGCTTCGTTCTTGGGGCCTGAAGAGAACAAGCCTGGGTTGGCAAACATGAATCAAACCGACGAGGATGCCGTACCTTGTTAGTCGCACCCATGCTTTACAGGCAGACTTTTCGGCGGAAGAACAAGTGAGCTTGATCCTGCACTCTGGGTGGATTTGGGCCTCGCTGATTCACATCTCTGCATCTCTTGATCTTGGCGAGACAAACAGTTGCCTGGGTCGATCCAATGTTTAGGCTACTGGGGCTCCTGGCCTTACTACTAGGAGCAAGAAGTCACTAGGAACAAAGGGCATCGCTACTAGGAACAAGGACGTTACTAGGGGAACAAGAAGCTTGTTTGGGGTATCATTAGGTAAGCAAACCAGCACTTTTGGGTG